CAGCTTACAGCTCCCAACCTCCCCTCCCCCCCCAACAAGAGAGTAATGTCTGGGCCCCACTCAGTCTCTCCATCTATAACGAGGGTTGCGCGAGGGTACAGGAGGAAGGCGAGGGATCTGGGCTGCTAGTTGGCGTTGCAAGTGGTGGACCATCCTTTTTCTGGGGGCTCTGGGGTCTCCTGTGGCTGGGAAGCCATAGGCCCTGAGCCACCGCTCTCCTGAAACCCAGCGGGGATGTGGGCGGGGCTGGAGCCTCTCCCCGCCCCCCCAGGGCCTCCGCCCACTTTGCGCTGCATCGATTGGTCGTTGGCCCATTAGCGGGGGCGGCCAGGCTGCCTCGTCAATATTTTAAGGAATGACCGGCTAGGCAGTGGGGTCCGGAACTGCAAGCTGGCGGAGCTAAAGACTGGCCTTCCCCGCCTCCCCGCCTTTTCCAATTGTCAGCGCTATTTTTACCTCCGGAAAGCCGGCCGCCCCCTCCCCCAAGCCCCAAGCCCGAGTGTGCGCAGCGTCTGGAGTCTGGACTGTGTGTCTCGCTGGGTGACTGGGGGCGGGGGTCTCCTGTCTAGGTTATTGGCTGTGGGGTTAAGAGAGGCCACGGCTCGGAAAGGCGATGGGCGGGGACTGGATTAGGCTTTCTCTGCCCAAACTCCACCCCGTGCCCTGCCCTTCCCCGCCCCTCTGAAGCCCCATCCCAGATGGGAACAAAAAACGTTTTTCCAGGAGAAGCCAGACAGCCCAGCTGGGCCTAGAAAACCCGAGGGTGATGGATAGGGGGGAGCGTGCTCTGCCCAACCGCTGGGCGAGCAGCCAGCACCTGATCCCTGGCCCCGGGTGGGCTCCCTTTGTCTCCAGTTCCAGTCCTCAGAGAAGCCTCCTGTGAAAGTGAGAGGCAACCCCCTACCTGCTTGGGGTCCCAGTCTTCGGCTTCCAGGGACTGTCACTTCTACATTAGAATCAGAGGTCCTTATAAGCCACTGCTCTGGTGCAATGGTGCCCTTTTACTAATGGGGATCTAATGTACCCCAGATTTCATGCCCAGGTCACCCCATGCTGCAGGGCCCCTGACTCAGCAGGCCTTTTCTGGCACCCTGGTCTGTGGGAAGAGAGCTGGGACACTGACCACAGAACCAAGAGTGCCAAGGACTACAGGACACAGCCAATCAGGAAAGGAGGGCCAGTGCAGGGTTGAAGCCTCCCTGGAAGAAGAGGCTCTTATACAGTCTAAAGGCAGAGGGGAATTTGAATAGTCATAGGATGAGGAGGACAATCCAGGCAGGAAAATGAGGCTGGCAGAGACAGGGAGGTGGGAATTTTCAAGAAGCCACTGGGGTTGGGGCAGCCTAAGCCTTTAAGGCAGATGGACAGTCTAGAGGGCAGGGGTGAGGTGGTCCACCTTGCTTCTAGTACCTCATAGCTTCCTCCCCTTTAGGCCCTGCTTTTCCCACCTCTGGGTCTGTGGTCGCCGACATAACAGAGGACTCTGAGCAGCACATTGGCTGGTCCCCAGAGAAGACTGGAAGTGCCTCATGGCCCCAACTGGAGGTTCGGAGGTGCCTGGCCAGTGGGCTATCACATTGTAGAGACCACCTCCCACGTATCCTTCCAAGGAGCAGCAGCCACTCATTTCCATTTTTGCAACAAGGCTCCAAGGTTGAGAGCATAGGCAGCGGCACTCGCTCCGGGAACGGTGGGGTCAGCCAACGTCCCTACCTCGGCCTCCTCCCTGGTTCTGGCCAAGGGCGGTTGGGGACAGCATACCCTTGCCCTGCCGTGGCCCAACCCTCTCCCCTGTAGCTTGCAGCCTGCCCTTTGCAGAAGGCCTATCAGCCTCAGTCTCTCATCTAAAGCTAAGTGTGGGGCTGTCTGCTGGCCTTGCTGCTGGGCGACTTTAACTTTGGCCAATCCCTGGGTAACCGCAGGCTCTGTGCCAGGTCTCAGGCCATAGGCTTCTGGGTCGAGGACAGGTAGTCAGGGCAACCCCTACCTCCTAGTGCCTGCCTGGCTCTTCCCTGACTAGGACATGGCCACAGCAGCCATACCCTTGGCAAATTCCTCTGAGTTCTGGTCCTACCTCCAAGGAGAGTGAGCTGGGCCTGCCTGTGCAAGCCCCCTCAGGGACCTGTCCCCCAACTCTGTGACTTCTCCCTGCCAAGGGTTTTCCCAGGCAGCAGGGAGGGACTGTGAGAACCAGGCACCTGCCCCAGACGGCGGCACAATCATCTCACACAGACATCCAACGCCTAGTCTTCCCGGGCTACCCTGTCCTTTAATCTGTCCCCGCCCCCAGTGGTCCCAGTGGTACGAAGGAGAGATGGCTATTGCAGGGAGCACTGGCCTACTGGGCAAATGGATGGGCTTGGAGCACAGAGACAGGGCCTCATAGGTCTATCCCAGCCCCAGGAAATGCCACCCCCACTGGTCAAGCCAAGGTCAAGGCCTGGGCACTCCACCTTCCCTGAAAGACACGGTGACAGGCATATTCCTGCTCCAGACCCAGGGGAAGGAACAAGTGCCAGACCTGGGTTGGGACTCTGCTCCCAATAAGAGCCTATGGCACCTGACAAGACAGACATGGGAACAAATTCCTGGAGCATCCTGCAAATGGAGGCTTGCAAGCAGCACATGCAGGACAGGACGGAAGGAGTTCAGAGGAGACGCTTATACCAGCCTGGGCAGGGAGGCCAAGGGAGGTCTTCCTGGAGGAAGCACTCTCAGGATTCATTATTGAAGGGTGACTAGGAGTTAGCCAGATGAAGAAAGGAGGAAGAACAGGGCAGGGGAAAGGTCAGGGATGAGCAAAGCTCTCCTCCCCCCACCCTCATGGACTCTGAACACCATCACTACCTCCCAACCTCCAGCGCCCAAGTCCGGCCCCCAAGTCATTGCTCAGGCCTGCAGTGCACTCTTGGTCCTCTACAGGCACGAGGCACAGCACAGACCCCCACCGCCTGGGGTGGGGGAGCCTTCCTAACCTCCTACTCCTCTCCTACCCAATCCTGGCCAGGGGTGTCTACGGAGACCGGGTGTTTTGGAAACTGTCTTCAGCACTAAGCAGCAGCATCAGGTGGCCCTGTGTCCTCCTCAGGGCTGTCCTGTGGTTATTGACTACAAATCGATGGCCAAGGTTGCCCTAAGGAGAGGGAATTCCCACGATGCCCTCTGGCCCAGAGGCCTCCCAGATGATGTCACTGAAGTGGGGCAGCTATTTTTACCTGGCGTTTAATTACATGGTTTGGATCCCAGAGGAGAGATGAGACGGTGCTCCCGGGAGCTGTGAGGGACAGGCATGCCGGGAAAGGTGGGATCCTGGGAGCACAGGTGAGGTCATGACCTTCCACCTCAGTTCCTCAGGAGGACAGTCCCTTCTCCCTTCACACTGGGCTGGACCCTCAGACGGGCTTTGCAGGGCAGGCCACATCACCCCACTGGGAATCCCCCCCCACCCCCCGCCTGTATGGAAGTGCATGCACACACCAAGCTAAGCCTGTGTCCCCGGGGGTGATGACCACCTTGGGGGGTAGGCAGACTAGACCCCCACGTAACTGACTGGATACACACCATGCAGGTTAGCCTTCTAGAGTGGTGAGGACGCAGTGGCGAGGGGCCTGGGAAGGGAGGATGCTGGGGTGAGAGACAGCTGAGATTCTTGTTCTGGGGCTTCTCGAAGTAGGTTGGATTTTGGTGGGAACTCTGGCAGGAACAGGACCCCAGAAGGTGGGAATACCAGTAGAAGCATGCAGACCACAGCCATGGAAGGGTCTTGAGGCAGGGCCTTCGCACTGTAAGGTGACCCTCTAGACCTGGAGCCACACAGACCTGAGGGAGAATTCTGGGCCTGTCTTGTCACTTACCGGCTGTGCGTCCTCAGGCCGAGAGTGAGGGCTTAGACAGTGACAGCTGTAACACGCCTGGTGTGCTGAACACATTCATTTGTTCATTCACTCGGTATTTATTGAACACCTGCCATAAACCTAGCACCAGGAACACGGCCACTTCAAAGACTATCAGAATCCCTGCCTCATGGAACTGGCATTCTCTGGGAAAAGGGGGAGAAGGAAGACATACAGCCAAGCAAGGAACTATGTGGCATGTCAGTGGGGATAAGCATGGTGAAGAAAAACAAGCTGAGAGCCAGAGCGCTGGACAGAGCAGAAGTGTTTATGATTTATTTTGTTTAGTATTCTCAATAAAAGAGTAAGGGTAAGCCCTATTAATAGGAAAAGCTATTAGCCAACACAATATATGAGCAAAAACCCAAAGGAGATGAGAGAGTGTGAGGGGAAACACATTCCAGGCATGTGCAAAGGCCCTGAGGTAGAATACAGCTGGCAGCTTCCAGAACTGCAAGGAGGCAGGAGGTAAGCCCAGAGGGTAGATGGAAGATCCTGGCAGGCAGGCGTTGGGGGCTGTGCTTAAGACGTTGGTTTTTACTCTCAGTGAACGGAAGCCACCGCAGGACTTCAAGCAAAGCAGGGATTGGTCTGTCCTGTTTCGGAAGTGATAACAGGGCTCCTGGATGGGGCACAGGCTTTAGGAGGGCGGGAAGGTAAAGATCCCGGGAACCAGTGAGGAAGCTGCTGAAGCACTGCAGGCCAGAGAAGGGGCTGCCTGGATCCCAGGAAGCAGCCTGGGTGGGAGGAGTGGAAGAGGAGTCGGGTTCCTGCCATATTGCAAAGGACTCCATGTGACTTGGGAGCCCCGTGAGGTCACTGGAGGCGCCTCTGCCAGCCCCAGAAATGATCCTGTGGTTCCTTAATTGTGCTGTTTGAGAAGAGAGTGAACTGGGGTTTCCCTCCCGCTGACACTACCTACTTCCCGGTAGTCATTCTCTTCCACCGGGCCTGCAAGCGTGGCCTGCTGTTCCCTGCCAGCAGCACACGGGTGCATGTCACTCCTACAGCCTCAGGGAGCCCTGCAGGAACAGGAGCGCTGGAGAGGGGGGACTGCTGGGTGCCTGGTCAGAGGTCTGAAAGTCATGGGTGCTCTTCTCGCCACAGCTGCGGCGGGCTGCGATGGGACGGGAGCCATGAATGGTGCAGCCCCCGGCCCTGCCGCAGCCGCCCCCGGCCCCGTCCCGGGCC